GACTGTGTTCAGCATGTTTGCAGAGGGTTTGAGGCGAAAAATCGCTGTGTTGGACGCGGGCGCGGCGCTCGAGCCGGCTATCAACCGTCGGCCTAGAACATGTTCTGCAGGTTGTTCTACATCACGGTGCTCTACCAGTAGCTCCGGCGCTTCCTGTTGCTCCACCCCCCGCAGAAGTACTTCGTGTTCTGCTCCATCATGGGTAGCGACCTCTGCGGGACGCGGGTCGACCACAAATCGTGTCGAACGTTCGACAACGAATCGTTCGAGACGAGTCGGGGTCGACCCGCGTCTCCGTCATCGCCGCCGCTCTCCCATGCTGCCCCAATGCAGCCCGCGTCGCGCGCGAGCTGCGGCAGCAACGAGCGCCGCACGCGGCGCTCCGCGCAGGGGCGGAGATCGACTGGCAGCCCATGCCCGCGCGACTAGCGCGGCGCGCTCGCCGCAAACGTCGCCGCAGTGTGCGTCCTGCTGCCCCAATGCAGCCCGCGTCGCGCGCGAGCTGCGGCAGCAACGAGCGCCGCACGCGGCGCTCCAGGCGCAGAGCGCGCGGCGCGCAAAGGCTGCCCGCGCCGCACATCGTCTCCCTCGGACCAAAAAGTCGGGGTCACCGAACAGAAGATCGTGACCCCGCTTTCAACATTGTCCGCCGAAATCCTCAACATTAAGGCGGCGCAGTGATCCTACTAGGCCGTCGTGAAGAGCGACTTCGGCTTCTCTGTCAATGCTCCGCCACGCTTCGCGTTCGGCTTGCAGCCCCGCTTCGCCTTCGTTCCGATCACGGTGATGTCCCACTGGGGAGGGACCTCGACCTTCTTGTTCTTGATGTCCCAGGCAAGCACGTGCTCGCAGGTGCCCCTCAGGAAGAAGTCTTTGCAGCTGCAGGCCTTGGTGGTCGCACCTCCAGCCTTGGGGCGTGTGAAGAGGACGTGGGCGCTCTTGGAGATGTCCACGAGCCGGTCGAAGCCGCCAGCGAGCAGCTCGTCTGTCAGCGTGAAGGTGATGAGCTGCTCGAACTTCTGGAGGATCGGCGACGCGTGGGCCCGTATCATGTCGAGGTTGTCCCTCCCATACTTCCTCGTGAGGTTCGCAATCGTCTTGTTCGCGAGGATCAGGACGCACTCCATGGGGAACCAGCCGGCGAGTGGGGTGACGTGGATGCTTAGGGCTCGTGTCGCCACCACGTCCCACTGCAGTGTCCCTAGGCTCACCTGGGCCTTACGGAAATCATCAATCTCATGTCCAGGGCACGGCGGGAACTGGGCCTGTGCCAGCGACTTGACCCCGATCCACGAGAAGTGGTCGTTCAGAAAGTCATCGAGCATCTTTTTCTGGTACCCGGTGCAGTCCTCCTTGTACCAGCGGTTGGTGCTCTCCAGGCCCTGGTTCTGGCTCGGCGTGCCGCCCTCGAAGTCCATCCCCGTCCACATGTTCTTCCGCTCGTCGTCCACGTACTCGGCGCACCACCGCCGCGTCGCCACGGGCTCGAGGCCGCCCCACTTCGCCTTGAACAGCGAGAGCAGGACCTTCTTCTGCGGGCGCACGACGACGGACATGTTCGCGAGGTCGATCACGTCGGCCTTGAAGCGCGCGCGGTTGTCCTGCGCGCGGAAGAGCTTCCGGTACTCGGGCTTGTCGATCGCGCTCTTCGCGTGCACCCAGCAGTTGCCGGAGACATGCGTGACGGGCGCTTGTAGAGTGTCCGCGTCCTGGTACGGTCCGCGAACCTTGGCCCTCGGCTCGGACATGCCGCCGCCGCCCTCCGCCAGCTGAGGGCTGCCCGAGATCCTGGGAGCGAGCGCTCTCCGCCGAAATCCTACGAGCGGACTTTGTAAATCCTGCAACAATATTATTCCCTGGTTGCCAAGCCTCCAAAGCCTGGCACTCCGAGTCGAGCCACGAGCCTCGTCGTCGGGCGCCAAGGCGCGTCGGCCGCGGCGGGTGCTGCGCGCGGCGGCGCCGACGCGCGCGCCGCATAGCCGGGCGCGCGTCGCACCATGCCGCACACGGCGGAGGAGCTCGCCATGCTGGCCTTCCTGCGCTTCGCGCGCGGCGCGGAGCCGATGAGTGCGGCCTGGCGGACGCTGGAGCGGAACTTCCTCGAGGAGGAGATCGACCTCGAGGCGCTGCCGCTCATCGAGACCGCGGACCTCGACGACCTCGTGCCGGCGTCCGCGCGGCGCGCGCTCGACGCGGCGCTCGGCCGCTGGCTCGCCGGCGACGCCGCGCTGCTCGCGGCGCTGCCGCGGGGCGCGGCGCCGCCGCCGACGGCGCCCGCGGCGCCCGCGCGGCCCGCGGCCGCGCCGCCGCGGGCGGACGAGCCCGACTTCGCGCGCGATTTTCTGGCCCACAAGGCCTCGCTCTTCGGCGACGGCCGCGCGGGCCCCCGGGACGAAGGGTCCGTCGCTTCCGCGGCGCCGTCTGTCGCGGCGTCCGCGGCGACGTCGGCCGCGGCGACGGCGGCGACGGCGGCGGACGCGGCCGCGGTGCACGCGGCGCGGACGCCGGCCGTCGCGGACCCGCGGGACCTTCGCGACGCCGTGCGCTACGGCCGCAAGGCGCCGCGCGACGACGGCCACTGGCTCTACACGCACCGCGGCCAGTGCTACCTGACGGACGCGCTCTCGCGGCGCTGCCTCGCGACCTGGGAGGCCGCGCCCGAGGCCGAGGCGGCGCCCGCGGCGGCGGCCGCGACGCTCGACGCGCCGGACGACGCGCCCGCGGCGCCGCTCGAGACGCTCGAGGCGACGTCGCGGTCGAAGCAGCGCAAGGAGCGCCAGGCGGAGACGCGCCAGCGCCGGGCGGACGCGAAGCGCGAGCAGGAGTCGACGCGGCTCGCGGCGGCGGCCGCCGCGGAGGCCGAGCGCGCCGAGCAGGCGGCGCTCAAGGAGCGGGCCAAGGCGCGCGCCAGGGAGGCGGCCAAGGCGCGCGCCCAGGAGGAGGAGGCGGCCAAGGCGCGCGCCAAGGAGGCGGCCGACAAGGCCCGCGCCAAGGAGGCGGAGAAGCGGCGGCGCGCGGCCGCGAGCGCCAAGGCCGCCGAGGCCGACGCCGAGCGGAGCCGCGCGGAGACCGCGCGGCGCGACGAGGCCGCGGCGCGCGAGGCCGCCGTCGCGCGGTCGCGCGAGGACGCGGCGAGCCAGCGCGCGGAGCGCCAGGCCGCGCGGCTGCGGCAGCGGACGGCGGCGGAGGTCGTCGTCGAGGAGGAGGACGACGACGAGGCCGCCGTCGCCGAGCGCCTGGAGGAGCGCCTGAAGGAGGAGCGCCTGGAGGAGCGGCGCGCGGCCGTCGAGCGGTCGCGGCGCGAGGCCCAGGAGGCGCGGGACCGCGCGCGGCGCGTGGAGCGAGCGCGCCGCGAGGCGGCGGTCCGGGCCAAGGCGGCGACGCTCGCGCGCGAGCGCGGCGGCATGGCCCGCGAGGACGCGCACTCGCGCGCGCGCGGCGACGACGACGCCTGCGCGCGCGAGGCCGCGCTCGCCGTCGAGCTCCGGGCCGGCCTCGACGGCGCGCGCGGAGGCCGACCACGAGGCGCGCGTCGTCGCGCGCGCGCCGCCCGCCGACCGGCGCCGCCTCCAGATCGCGCGCGTCCTCGACCTCGACGACGCCCGCAAGGCGCGCTACGCCGCGCCCGAGGCCGCCTGCGAGGCGGCCAACGACGTGCTGCGGGCGACGGTCGAGCTCTTGAGCTGGGACGACTTCGTGCGCCGGGGCCTGCTCGTCCGGACGCGGGACGGCGGCCTCGACTGGGTCGACGACGACCCCGACGCGCTCCGCGCGGGCCTCGAGCGGGCCGTCGCGGATCTCGCCGAGCACGCGGCGCGGGCGAAGCGCGCGGCCGCGGGCTGCCGCGCGGCGGCCGCGGAGCTCGGGTCGACCTTCGACGGCTTCGCGCGCGACGCGCTCGGCGTCGCCGGCGGGACCGACGGCGCGGAGGTCCGGCGCGCGGCGCGGCGGCTGTCGCTGAGCTGCCACCCGGACAAGCTCCGCGGCGAGACGCGGGGGCTCCGGCTCCGCGCGGCGCGGACCTTCGACGTCGTCGGCCTCGCCCGGGACGCGCTCGCCGACGACGCGGACCTCGCGGCGACGGAGGCGATGTGGGCCCGCGGCCGCGGCCTCGGCGACCACGCGGCGCACCTCGCGCCGATGACGGCGGCCCTCGAGGCGCTCGGCGCCGAGATGAAAAAACACCCGGTCGCCAAGGGCGTGCGGCGCCGGCTCAAGCGCTTCACGCACATCGTCGCCGACGACGGCGAGTTCGAGAAGGTCCTCGTCCCCGAGGAAGACCTCGAGGCGATCGGCCTCTGGCGCGACAAGTTCCAGCGCCGCGACGTCTACGCGGCGCACAAGCGCTACGGCCCGGGCAAGGGCTTCGCCCTCGTGCCGAAGAACGGGTGGCTCGTCCGCTTCTACGTCGTCGACCCCGTCGACGAGTTCGTCTACGACGTGACGACGTTTATCAAGCACCGCTTCCCCGACTCCATCAATTCCATGAGCAACGACGACCTCGTCCGACGCTTCAGCTTCACGCTGGGCGTCCAGCCGCTCACCGCGCGCGCGTCCCGCGAGCTCTGGGCGAGGCGCCTCGGCGCGCCCGCCGCCGGCGGCGGCGGCCTTTCCGTGCACCACGAGGACGATTGGGGCGTGCCGGGCCCGATCCACCGGCGCGGCGGCGGCGGCGGCAAGAAGAAGAAGGGCCGGCGGCGCTAGCTCGCGTGTTTGTAATGAATTTTCGTACTCGCTCGTTGCGTCGCGGTGCAAGGGTGGCCGCTGGAGGAGCCATGCTGGAGGGTCCTGACGCACTGGCGCATGACGCGGGGTCCGTCGCCGTGCGCCGCAATTTTAAGCGCAATGAGTGGCATGAGATTTGCCGTGCGGACTTCACGCCCACAGCGGGCCTCGGCAGCGAGCTTTGAGAATCGAGCAATCTGGTGCGGAAGACGATCCAGCCCGCGAAAATGGCCCTCTCCCGCGTCGGCTCCGGCATCTGGAAGATGATGTCGAAGCAGTACCAGGCGTCCGTCGCGGCGTGCGGCCCCGCGTCCCAGCCATTCGCCGCGACACGCGCCCCGGGGCGCCCGATCGACGCCCGCACGGCTCCAGACCGCGCGCGGGCGCCCCCGACACCCGCGACGGCGGCGCGCCCCGCAACGACCCTCTCCCGACACCCGCGACGGCGGCGCGCCCCGCGACGACCCTCGCTCTAGGTCCCTGAACCAGTACGGCCTCAAGTACGACGACGTGAAGATCGAGCAGGACGCGGACTACGCCAAAGCGCTCGGCCGGATCAGCGACGAGGAGGTCCAGGCGCGCGCGCGCCGCATGAAGCGCGCCTTCGACATCTCCTTCAAGAAGAAGTCGCTGCCCGCCGACCTCCAGCGCCTCCAGGCGCCCCTCGCGCCCTACGCGACGCCGCTCATCGACGAGGCGAAGGCGCGCCGCGTCGAGCGCGAGCTGCTCAACACATATTAGGTCCCCCCCCCCCGCCGCTTTTCCACATAACCCCCCCTCTTACGAACTCCAGGGCGCCTCGTCCTCGAAGCCGAGGAGCGCCGCGTAGGGGCTCCCCAGGTCCACGCGGAGGTCGACGTCCTCGCCCGCGGCGTCGGCCTCGCGCTCGTCGACGACGAGCGGGTTCTCGAGCGTGAGGTTGAGGTCCGCCAGCAGCGCGGCGTCGGCGTCGATGTCCGGCGGCCCCCGCGGGCGGGTCGCGTTGGCCTCGCGCGCGAAATCGAGCCGCGCGGCCTCGGACGCGCTCCAGGCGCCGTGGCTCCCGAGGAACGCGCGCGCGTACGCGGACGGCGGCAGCGTCGCCGCGTGGAGCCGGAGCACGTCGCAGAGGCCGAGGACGTGGGGGAAGCGGCTCCCGCGCCGCTCCAGCGCGGCCGCGAGCCGCCCCGGCAGGTCGCACGTCGCGAGGAGCCGCTCGTGCGCTTTCGCCGCGCCGCGGCACCGGAGCGCGGTGGACACGAGGGCGAAGAAGAGGCGGTGGAACTGGGCGTTCTCCGGGAAGGCGTCGAAGAACCAGCCGCAGAGCGCGGCCCAGAACCGCTCCGGCGCCGCGTCGACGGCCGGCGCGCCGCTTTCCCGGAAGCACGACCGCGCGATCTCCAGCAGCCGCAGCCGCAGGAGCGTGAAGGGCGGGCCGGCCTGGCGGCCCGGGTGCTTGACGGCGAGCTCGATGGCGTGGGCCTCGTTGACGTCGAGCGCCGCGGCGCACGCGGCGTCCAAAGCCCCCGACGCCAGGAGCCGCGCGTGGAACGCGCGCCGCGTCGGCGCGGACCGCGACGCCCGGCGCTGCTCGGCGCTCGGCGGCGGCGGCGACGTCGGCTCGTCGAGCGCGAGCTCGACGCCCGAGGCCTCGAGCAGCTCCGCGTCGTCGTCGCCCGCGTCGTCCAGCGCGACGGGGATCGCCGCGTCGTCGTCGCTGTCGGACGCGTCGCCGCGCGGGATGGGCCGCGGCGAGTCGCCCACGCCGTCGCCGTCGCTCCCCGTCAGCGGCGCCGACGACACGAGCTCGCCCGACGCCTCCGCGGCGCGGTCGCGGCCCGCGGCGCACGCCAGCGCGAGCGCCGACGCGCAGTCCAGCCGCCGCGCGTAGGTCGCGGACCGGTCGGCGACGACGGCGGCGAGTTTGGCCTCGACGCCGCAGTGGGCCAGGGCCTGCAGCAGGACCTCGCCCGCGTCGTCGTCGACGACGACGTCGAGCACCTCGCCGAAGAGCCGCGGCGCCGCGCCGTCGCCGCCGAAGCGCGGCGCGGAGCCCGCGTGCCGCGCCTCGGGCAGGGGCGTCGTCGGCTCGCCGTCCTCGGCGGCGCGCGCCGCCAGGAGGGCGAGTAAGCGCAGGGAGCTCAGCGCGCTCACGAAGCGCCACCGCGTTTGCGCCGACGGCTGCTCCCGGGGCGCCGCGAACGCGTCGTCGTCCTCGGCCCCCGGCCGGTTCCCCGCCACGAGCTCGACGAAGAAGCGCGCCACGGACGCGTGGCCCAGGTAGTCGACCATGTTCACCAGGGCCTTCGGCGGGCCGTCGGCTTCTTCGCCCAACAAACCGTCGTAGACGCCGTCGGGGTAGACGCGGAAGAGGCGGTCCAGCACGTAGACGGCGTGGCGCGCGCAGCCCCGCGCGTCCGCGGCGAAGACGCCGAAGAGCGCGCGGGCGACGAGCGCCGCGTGCCGCTCGACGCGCGGCAGCAGGCTCTCGCGGCCGTCGTCGCCGCCCGCCAAAAGCCGCGCCGCGCGGAAGCTCCGGACCAGCGCGAGGTCCGGCGGCGCCGCGTCGCCGTCGGACGCGTCGTCGGCGGGCGCGTCGGCCTCGGAGCTCGGCAGCTCGATCGTCGCGCCGTCGAGCGTGATGAAGGCGCAGAGCGCCGCGAGGCCCTCGGCGCTGCTTAGGTAGTCCGCCATCTTCTCGGTGAGCTGCGGCTCCTCGATCTGGAGCGCGAGGGCCACGAGGGCCACGGAGCTCTCGTCCTGCGCCATAGCTCTCGCGCGTTCGCGACGCGCGCGCCACTACCCGCGCGCGCACGCGAGGTCGACTCGGCGCCGCGGTTTAGCCCAAGCGGCGGGCGGCAACCAAGCCAACGATGCCGCACCAATCCTGCGGCAAATCGAGGTGCGCGTTCGGCCATGGTCCTCAGGAGGCACAGCTTGGCGGCGGCCGTGGCCGCCTTGACGGTCGGGTTCGGGTCGCCCGAGCTCCTCTCGAAGCTCAAGGCCGAGAGCGAGCTGTCCACGGACTGCTACGGGTTTCCCCAGCGGTCCTTCAGCCGCCAGAACTGCGTGAAATGCACCTACGGCACGTCGCCCCACGTGCCCGTGTCCGTGGGCGACGGCGTGACGGATTTCACGCTGCCGAACATCGACGGCACCTACACGACCCTGAGCGACGTGCTCGTGGAGAAGCCCGTCGTGTTGGTCTGGGGCATGTGGACGTGCCCGGCGTTCCAGGGGCTCGGCGAGGGCACGAGCCCGCCGTTCGACGAGTGCTCCTACCGCGACGAGTTCGACCTCGTCGAGGCCTACGCGGAGTCCGTCCACTTCGTCCACCTCGTCGGCCCCGAGCCCCACCCGACGACGCCCGACGTCAACTTCGACTCCGGGAAGCAGCTCATGAACTACTGGAGCACGGTGTCGCAGCCCCGGACCTGGCCCGAGCGCATGGCCATGGCCGCCAAGGTCGCGTCGACGAAGCACCCCAAGGCGAAGCTCCTCATCGACACGCTCGCCGACGCGACCGACGGCCGCGCCCGGAACCAGCCGGCCTGGTGCTCGCTCGGCCACGGCGCGCGGACGGCCCTGCTCGTCGCCCAGGACGGGTCCCTCGTCTACTCCCAGACCTGGTTCCACAAGTCCGACATGGTCGCCGCCATCGACGCCCACCTCGCCGACGTCGCCAAGTGAGGCTCCTTTTTTCGGGGCGCGCGCGCCTCTCGCCTCGTAAGCGACCACTCTGCTCTTCGTGCGACGGCGCGCTGATTGTCTTGTCCTGGGCAGATCGTGAGGTGCAGCGCTCGCGGAGACGCCCTCCGCACAAAGTCCGCACAAGTACTTCAAAAGTGCATGATTCCTTCAATCAGGAGCCTGCTGCGATTGGCGCGTTTGTAAGCGCGCGAAGTAGAATACCTTCGCGCTCCGAAAGGCGCAGCGCGACGACACCCATGCGCCTCGCCACATTGGCCGCCGTGCTCGCCGCGGTGTCCTGCGACATGCACAACAGCGGCACGCCCGACGGCGTCCCCGCCGACGTCGACTGCACCATCCGCGAGCTCGCCTACGAGTTCGGCAGGGCCAAGCTGCCCGAGCGCGGCGACTTCGGCACGCTCTACGACGCGCTGCAGCTCGCGCAGTGCCCGGGCACGACGGCGCCGCGCGACGACGGCGCGCTGCCGCCGGGCGTCTACGAGATCGCCGGCGCCGCGCTCTACGTCGCGACCGACGGCGACGACGACAACGCCGGCGACTCGCTGGACAAGCCGCTCAAGACCATCGCGAAGGCGCTGGCGCTCGCCGCCGCGGGGACGACGAAGACCATCGCCGTGCGCGGCGGCACCTACGAGCTCGCCGCGCCGCTGCAGCTCGGCCCCGAGCACTCGGGCGTGACGCTCCAGAACTACGGCGGCGAGGCGGCAATCGTCTCCGGCGGCGTGTCCTTCACCGTGGACGACTGGGCGCCCTACGTGCAAACGGGCCTCCACTGGCAGACCCACTACGACGCGAACAACGTCTTCGGCCTCGCGAGCGCGTCGGGCAACACGTCGGAGGCGGAGTTCGTCGGCGTCTTCGACGACGCGGACGCGTGCGGCGCGGCGGCCTACGCGTACCGGTCCTGGACCTACCACGAGGCGGCCTTCGGCGGGCCCTTCGCGAAGCAGTGCTTCGGCCGCGTCGGCGGCGCGTGGATCCCCAAGCACGAGCCCCACGTCGTCTCCGGCCGCTGGACCTACCGGAACACGTGGGTCGCGGACCTGGCCCACCTCGGCCTCGACGACGTGCCCGGTCTACGCGTCGACGGCGAGCGCGCGATCCGCGCCAAGTACCCCGACGGCGACCCGGAGCGGTCCGGCGAGTGGCTCGCGGGCGCGAGCGCGAACATGGGCGGCGGCGACTACACGTATGGCTGGGTGCCGTTGAGCCACGAGACGGAGTGGGTCAAGCCCGCGCGGAAGCCCGACGCGCGCGAGCTCGTCTTCACGGGCGCGGACTGGCCTTCCGTCGAGTGGCCCGCGGCGGAGCAGGGCGGCAGCTCGTGGACGGGCGAGGGCGACTGGGGCGAGTACCACCTCGGTTTAGGCGGCTACTGCGACGACCTCGAGCCGCCCGTGGGATATTGGTGTTCGATGGACCCGCCGCGGGGCCAGTGCTGGGACAAGGCGACGAACACGGGCTCCGGCTGCACGCAGACGCACATGTCGCCCGACGGCGTCGTCTTTCCAAGGGCCGCGACCTACGCGAACGCGACCGGCGCCGTCGTCCAGTCGTGGCGCGGCGGCGGCCGCTGGTTCACGCAGCAGTGGGTCGTCGAGCGCTTCGACAAAGACAGCGCCACGCTCGTCTTCGATCCGAAGACGGGCATGCAGGGCGGCGAGGGCGGCACGGACAGCGGCCAGTTCTGGATCGAGAACGTGCTCGAGGAGTGCGACGCCGCGCGCGAGTTCTACTACGACGTCGTCGAGAAGAAGCTCTACTGGAACCCGAACGGCACGACGCCCGACGCGGCGCCCACGGGCGACGAGAATTCGTCGCGACGCGGCTCCGGACGCTCGTCAACGCGACGGGCACGCCGGACCGGCCCGTCGCGGACGTCGCGATCCGCGGCCTTCAATTCGTCGACGCGCGGTACACGTACATGGACCCGCACGGCATGCCCTCCGGCGGCGACTGGGCCCTCCAGCGCAACGGCGCCATCACCCTCGAGGGCGTGTCGAATTTTACCTTGGCCGGCAACGCCTTCGCGCGCCTCGACGGCAACGCGGTCAACGTCAACGGCTACGCGCGCGACGTCGTCGTCGACGGCAACGACTTCTCCTGGATCGGCGACTCCTGCATCGCGCTCTGGGGCCACACGGGCACGTGCCTGAACGAGAACTGCTCGCAGAGTACGCCCCACAAGACGGGGCCCGACGGCCGCGGCGGCGAGCAGCCCTGGCGCACTGTGGTCTCGCGGAACGTCGCGCGCGAGATCGGCGTCTGGCAGAAGCAGAGCTCCTTCCTCTTCCAGGCCGTGAGCTACGCGACGCACGTCAAGGACAACGTCCACTTCAACGGCCCCCGCGCGGGCATCAACTTCAACGACGGCTTCGCGGGCGGCGACGTGCTCGAGGGCAACCTCCTCGCGAACTGCGTCCGCGAGAGCGGCGACCACGGGCCCTTCAACAGCTGGGACCGCGTGCCCTACATCACGGACTTCGACGGGAGGCGCGCGACCGTGATCCCGCGCTTCCGCCAGATCCGCGACAACTTCGTGCTCTCGGTCGCGCGCGGCGCCCGCGGCCGCGCGCGCGCGGACGCCGGATCCCCGCCGCCCCGCGCAGGTCTACTCGAGCCAGGAGGCCATCGACAACGACGACGGCAGCGCGTACTACAACACGACGGGCAACTTCTTCGCCTACGGCGCCAACGGCCTCAAGAGCGACTTCGGCGGCCACGACAACTACCACCAGGGCAACGTCTACGCCTGGTGCGGCGCCTGCGTGGGCTCGGGGAACGCGGACCGGTTCCTCGACAACGCGTGCATCGCGCACAGCGCGGACGGTGGCTTCAACGACTGCGACCTGGCGCCCTTCATGGACGTGGCCCGCAACGACGTCTACACGCGCACGGGCAACTTCAGTCCGCCCATCTGCGACGCGAGCAACGTCGTCTGGGGCGCGTGGCCCGACGCGGCGACCGTGCGCGCGATGGCCAAGCGCGTCCTCGACTTCTGAGCTCCGTCTTTGTGTGCCGCGCGCTCCTCCGACCCTCCCCCGACGAGTACGAGCGCCGTAACTCTGCGTGGAACCGTTACGGAACGCGCCTCACCGCTTCATCGGCGGGTTCCTGTCCTCCTTGACCCACTTCTTCCGCGGCGTGTGCAGGGACTGGGACTTCTTGTCGACCCAGTCCGGGTTGTGCTTGCGGCGCATGAAGCCCTCGGCGGAGACGAGGGACGGCCCGCCGATGAAGATCTTGCGGTCGCCGAGCGGGATGTCCTTGAGAAAAATGTCCGTCTTCTCGCGCTTGGGGCTGTAGGACATGGGCTTGCGGCAGGCGAGGGTCGTCGCCTTGAAGCGGCTCGTCGAGATGGACTTGATGCTCGCCAGCAGCACGCGCAGGTCCACGGCCGCGGCCGCCTGGGCAGGAAAAGGGTGCGAAATTCCCAACTTCAAAGGCTCCTATCTCGGTCGTTTTCCGCTCGTTTCGGCTGATTTTTGGACGAGCGATCATCTCTCAGAGCGCTCTCGAAGCGTGGGTGCTGTTTCCGAAACGCGCGCGCGCGGAACACTCACGTTGAAGCGACGTTGAATCACCCTTTTCCTGCCCTGGCGGCCGCCTCGGGCGCCGCGCCGATGCCGCTCGCGAGCGCCGCCTCCGCGTCCCCAAACTTCTTCGCACCGACGAAGATCGTCGCGCGCTGGAGCTGGGCCTCGGCGACGTAGACGCCGTGGTCGAGCTCGAGGCCGTGGCGCAGCGCGTCGTCCGCCGCGGCCATCGCGTCGCGCGGCCGGCGGCACGCGAGGAGCGTCGCGGACTTGCGGACGAGCACGGCGTGGCGCCCGGCGTGCCGCCGCACGCCGTCGACGGCCTGCCAGCCCTCGCGCGTCGCCAGCAGCGCCTCGGCGTCGCCGATGTGCTCCAGGGCGCCGGCCTCGTCGCCGTCGCGGAGCAGGTCCTCCGCCGCGCCGAGGTGCTCCTCGAGCTCGTCCAAAGCCGTGTGCAGCACGGACGCGCTCATGGACTCGTCCTCGCCGCTCAGCTTGCTGTCCTCCGCGACGCTCATGGTGCCTTCGAGCGCGGCCCCACCAGAATCACAGCCCCATCGACGCGTGCGCTAATTACGCGCGCGGCACCTCCGACCTCTTGAGCTTCGGGGCTGCTCGATGGTGACATGGGCAGCCGCAAGGAGGAGCCGCAGCAGGACCAGACCGTCGGCGTCGTCGCCTGCGTCTGGCTCTGCCTGAGGTACTGCTGGCCCTGCTGAATGGCGGAGCGATGCGTCGTCAGGGTCCACATCCCATCCCATCCCTCCACCACGCTGCAAGTGCGAGCGCCGGCGGCACGGCGCGTTGCGAAAGTGGTGGAGAAGGTACTCGCGTCCTGCGGCGTCGACGCGCGCGCCCACGCGGTAACTTTCGCCGACGGGCGGCCGCTGGCGCCGGACGCGACAGTCGCGGACCTTCCGGGCGACTCGCTGCTCGTCGTCGAGGCGGGCGCCGCGAGCGGTAGCGAGCCCGACTTCGAGGACGTGGCCGATGCGACGCATGGGGGCAACGGCTTCGCCGCGCTCCTCGCGAGCCACGTGTCCGACGCCGCGCGGCTCGCGCGACTGGAAACGTGCGTCGCGTCGATCGTCGCGCAGGCCGAGCTCCCGGAAGCCCTTTGCGTCGGGCTCTCCGCGGCGTCGGCGGCGCTCGGCGACGCAGCCGCGGCGGTCTTCGAAGCCGCGCGGCCCGCGCTCGAGACGCGGGCCTGCGCGCTCCACGTCGTCCGGTCGCGGCGGCCGCGGCGCCAGTTCGACCACGTCGCCGCGCTCGCGGAGCACTGCGACGCCGCGATGGTCATGTTCACCGACGACGACGACGAGTGGCACGCGGAGCGCGTGGCGACGTACGCGCGAGCGGCGGCGCGCGTCGTGCTCGTCTCGCCGCGCTACGCCGTCAACGACGGCGCCGCGCTCAAAGTCGTCGCGAGCCCGCCTGGCTCGCTGCCGTCGAACTACTGGGACCTGGCCCTGCCCTCGGCGCTGCTCCGACGGTTCGACTGCCGAGACGGATCCGAGAGAGTACGCGTCGCCCTTCGCGGATTGCGCGTTCCTCGAGTGGCTCTTGAAAACCGGCGCGTTCGCGACGGCGCGCCGGGTCGAGCCGCGGGACGGCTGCTGGATGTACCTCTGGCGCCAGGACCACGCGCAGCGGCCCCAGCACGCCGCGCGCCTGAACGCGGAGCTCGCGGAGGAGGTCGGCGAGGGCCTCGCGGACGCGCTCGGCGATCCCCGCGGCCGGTCGTGGTTCGCCGCCGCCTACGAGGCGGGCATGGGCAGGCGCATCGACGCGGCGCGCATCCCCGTCGACGCGCTCGTCGGGGCCTACCGGGACCGCGTCCTCGCCGCGGAGCGCGACGTCGAGCTCGGGCGCATCGCACTGTTCCACGGCCGCTGGTCCCGGGCGGACCTCGCGGCGACGGGCCTGCCGTCCCACGGCGCGCCGGCCGGCGACCGCCGCGTGCTCTTCCCCCGGGAAGACGCGATGGCGACGCGCCAGGCCGCGGACGCGGCCGCGCTGCTCGAAGCGAACCCGACGTCGGACGTCGAGGCGCACCTCGACGCGGGCGAGCGCCTCGTCCGCCGCTACGCGGCCGCGCGCCTCCGCAGGCGGACGCACTTCGCCTACGTCGCCGTCGACGCCGACGCCGTCGCCGCGGCGTTCCGCGCCGCGAGCTACGAGTGCCCGGGGTAAACGTCGCGTGGTTGAAGAAGCCATCGATTTTGTTGCCGTCCGACTCTTCGAGCATGGAGCAGAATTCAGCTCGTCACATCCGCGCCTTTGCATGCATCGCCGGCGTCGCTGGCGTGCGCATCATGCGCCTCTCTTTCTTCTTTGCATGCGTCGTGAGCGCGCGCATGGAAGAGGCCGCTGGCGCGCGTGGTTTCACGGCGGCAAGCGCGCCGTCCTGGCCCGAGCTCCTGCCCTACGACCCCCGCGCGGACCCCGCGGCCGTCGTCGTGTCGGGCTCCTTCCGCTGCACCGTGCTCACGGACCGCCTGCTGCGCTTCGAGTACGCGAAGAGCGGCGCGTTCGAGGACCGCGCGACGACGGCGTTCGTGCACCGCCGGCTGCCCGTGCCGAAGTACGAGGCGTCGTCCGCGAACGGGACGCTGACCGTGCGCACGAAGTCCTTGGTCGTCACCTGGGACGAGCGCGGCGAGGACCTGTCGTCGCTCGCCGTCGCGCCCGCGCCGGGCGCCGACTCGGGCTTCGGCGGCTGGCGCTTCGGCGCCGCGGACCCGGGGAACCTGCTCGGCACCATCCGGAGTCTCGACGAGCTCGGGCCGACGCCGCTGAACTGTACTGTGAACAAGAACATCACCGTCCACGACGAGGGCCTCCACTGCGCCTGGGGGCTCGTGTCGCGGAGCGGCTGGGCGGCCGTCGACGACGCCGAAACCTTCGCGCTCGACGGCGACGGCTGGTGGCGCGGCCCGAACCGCGACGACGAGGACGTGATGCTGTTCGCGCACGGCTTCGACTACAAGGGCGCGCTCAAGGATTTCATTAAGGTCGCGGGCCGCGCGGCGCTGCCGCCGCGCGCCGCCCTGGGCGTCTGGTGGACGCGGTGGTACAACATCAACGCGCCGGAGACGAGGGCGATCGTCGACGAGTACCGGTCTAGGGGACTTCCCTTGGATGTCTTCGTCTACGACATGGACTGGCACCGAAAGCCGGCGTGGGGCGGCTACACGTGGGACGCGAACCTCTTCCCGGACCCGGCGGACGCCGTGCGCGGCTACCTGAAGGACGAGGCGGGCCTGGTCGTGCTGGCGAACATCCACGACGACGACGGCGTCGTCGCGTCCGAGGACCGGCACGCGGCCGTCGTCGCGGCGATGGGGCTGCCCGAGACGACGGGCGACGTGCCTTTTGAATTATGCAACAACTCGGCCTACGCTTTGGCACTCGAGGACGCCGTGCTCCTCCCGCTCGAGGCCCAGGGCATCGACTACTGGTGGATCGATTGGCAGCAGGGCGGCGCGCTCGGCGGCTGCGCGGGCGACCGGCAAAACCCGACGATTTGGACGGCGAGGCTCCGGTCCACGGACCACGCGCGCCGCGGGTCGACGAAGCGCGGGCTCGTGCTTTCGCGGTGGGGCGGCCTCGGGTCGCACCGCTACCCCGTGGGCTTCTCGGGCGACGTCGCGACCGTCGACTGGCACACGCTCGCGTACCAGCCCTACTTTTCGGCGACGGCGGCGAACGTCGCCTACGGCTTCTGGTCCCACGACGTCGTGTCCCCGGGCTTCGAGGACGGCGCGTCGACGGACGCGCTCGAGGTCTACACGCGCTGGGTCCAGTGGGCGGCGTACTCCGGCGTCGTCCGGAGCCACGACCGCGGCCTCAGCGCCGGCGACTGCGACGAGATGTTCCCGGCGACGCGGACGTCCGACGCGTGCGGCGTCGTCGAACCCTGGGGCGTGCCGGCGAAGCCCTACTTCGCGGCGATCCGCGCGGCGCTGCGACGCCGCGCGGCGCTGGTGCCCTACGCCTACACGCTCGCGCGCGAAGCGTACGACGCGGGCCTCGGTCCGCTGCGGCCGCTCTACTACGAGTTCCCGAGGCTCGACGCGGCCTACGGCTGCTCGCCGGAGGACTGCCAGTATTTCTTCGGGCCGGACCTCGTCGTCGCGCCCGTCGTCGCGCCGGCGTCGGGCGCCGCCGGCTTTCTCGCGCCGAAGCGGCTCTGGATCCCGCCGGGCGTCTGGGTCGAGGAGACGTCCGGCCGAGTCTTCGAGGGCGCGGCGGACGGGTCGACGTACGAGCGCCGGACCTACGCGCTCGCCGAGACGCCCGTGCTCGTCCGCGGCGGCGCGGTCCTGCCGACGCTGCCGCCGCCGCGCCACGGCGACTCCATCGGCGCCGCGGGCCGCCCCTACGCGGCGCTCGTCTTCAGCATCTACCCGGGCGCGGACCGCGGGAGCGCCAAAGTCTACGAAGACGACGGCGCGACGACGGCCTATCTCCGGGGCGCGTCCGCGACGCTCGCCGTGTCCTACGCGAGGACGGCGAACGGCATCACCGTGACCCTCGCGACCGAGGGCGCGTACGCCGAGCTCCCGTCCTCCCAGGACGTCGCGCTGCGCTTCGTGAACGCCGGGCCCGTATCGGCCGTCGCTGTGAACGGCGCCAAGGCCGACTGGCCGTTCCGGCGCTTCGCGGCGACGCCGGGCGCGTGGACCCACGAGGGCGACGCGGCCGTCGTGCGCGTCGGCGCCGTGCGCGCGGACGGCCGGCCGACGCGGGTCGACGTCGCCTTCGCGGCCGACGGCGCGGCGCTCGCGGGCGTCCGGGGCCTCGCGGCGCGCGGGACGGCCGCCAAGGCGGCGCTCGACGCGGTCCGCAAGACGCCCGGGTCGCAGCGGGCGGGCTTCGGCGCGCTCGACCGCCTCGCGATCCTCGGCGACGACCTCGCGCGGCTCGCGGGCGACGCGGACGCGTGGCGCGCGGCCCTCGGCGGCGCGGAGCGGCGCCTCGCGGACGCCGTCGCCGAGGTCAAGGCGACGCAGGACCCCGGCGCGCGGACGGCGCACGTCCTCGCCCTGCTCGACGTGTAAGGTTTGTTTTGGAGCGCTACGACGCAGCGCCGCCGCGCGCGCGTGTTTGGAGCTGCTTTTTACTGTGGCGCGTTCGCGAGCGCGGCCGCGCGATCACTTGTTCTTCTTGCCGCCGCCCTTGCCGCCGCCGGCGAACACGTTGACGTACAACACGAGGCCGCCGAGCACGACGACGGCGACCTTCAAGCCGAGCGACAGCATCGGGTCCGTGGTCACCTGCGCCTGCTCGCCCTCTTTGCCGAAGAAGGTGCTCTTGTCCTCCTTGATCGGTCCGCGCGGCGGTCCTCGCCTCGGTTGCGCGAGCGCGACGGTCAGCGCGTAGGCGACGACGAGGAGGCGCGCAAACGAGCTCGCGACGGCGGACTGCATTGCGTCGTGCAGCGCGAGCAGCGGCAGACGCTCTCTCAGAGCTTGCGAGAGTGCTTCAATCGGGCCTCAAGAAAAGATCAACAAATCACGTTACCGCATTCCAAGGACGCAGCAGCCCCGATCGAAGACGATGTTGGCCCTCCTCCTGCTCAGCGCGGGCTTCGCGACGGCCCAGGAGAGCGGCGCCGGCGTGTCGAAGTCGACCTTCGCGGCTTCGAAGCCCAAGGAGGGCATGCAGTTCCTCCTGGACTACCTGCCCGTGAGCGTGGCCCAGGACGAGTGCGCCAAGGACCGCTGCAACTGCACGTGGCTCGGCGACTCCTTCAGCGTGCTCCAGGGCCGCGTGAGCCTCCACGAGCGCGGCGAGGGGGGCTTCGGCCTCCACCTCGTGGCCACCGAGCACAAGCTGACGACGGGCGGGCTGACGGTGGAGGCGGTCGAGGCCTCCTTCTCCGAGAAGCTCGGCGGCATGGCCGCCTTCGACGCCTTCATGGACTACAACACGCACTTCTTCGCGACGCACGACTACTTCGACCTGCTCCTGAACAACTTCCGGGCCGGCGGCGTGCCCTTCCTGCCCTTCCGGTTCCCGGGGCTGGGCGGCGCGAGCTGGTACGGCGCGATCGCGCACGTCCCGAACACGCAGATGGTCCTGGAGTTCTCCTCGAACAGCAGCGCCGTCCTCGCGCCGCTCGCGGCGACGCTCCTCGAGCTGGAGCCGCGCCTCCCCGCCGCGGTGCTCCGCCGCGTCGCCGCGTCGGCGGAACGGCAGCTCCAGGTCGCCGTCGTGTCGCGCGCGTCGAGCGACGTCGCGGCCATCGAGGCGTTTTACGTGCAGGGCATGAACACGTCGCTGTCCTTGTTCTACGAGAGCGACGACGACACCGTCAAGACGCGCTGCGTCAAGTGGCAGGACGCGACGGTCGACGTCTGCTTCCGCCAGCGGTCCCCGTCGGCGACGTCGGGCGACTTCTCCGTGGCGGCCTTCGAGTCGATGCTCCACGCCGTGCACCACACGCTGCTCCGGGACCCGAACTGCGGCATGGACCGCTGGCAGGACAACCACTACGCGATCGACGCGCCGGAGCTGAACGCGGAGTGGATCCTGCGCTACCTCGACGACCACGAGGACGCGCGCTACGTCTGCAACGGCGACAGCGTCCACTACCTCTTCGACCCGACGGGCTTCGCCGTGCAGCTCGACATGGGCATCAACGGTAGCGCGGTCCGGTGCGACGCGCGCGACTGGGACAGCGGCCTCGAGCCGGACTACTCGTGCTGGAACGGCGTCTGCGCCGACGCCTTCGCGCTGGCCTTCGGCGGGCGCAACGCGTCCCTGCCGTTTGCGGCGCGCCCGCGCCGCAACGGCACCGCGGCGTCCGAGGAGCTCGCGGCGCTCGCGGCGGCCGTCGGCGCGCCGCCGACCTTCGTCCTCGCCGCGGGCCTCGTCGCGACCCTCGCGCTCGTCGCCTTCCGGCGCGCGCCGAAGCCGACGGAGTACGCGTCGCTGAATTAGGGTGCGGACTACGGCCGCACGAAGAAGTAGACGGTCATGACCACGACGTAGACGAGGTGCACGAGGAGGCACACGAGGAAGGCGTAGAAGTTGCGGATCGTCTTCGCGCCGATGCACTTGCCCGTCCAGGGGCAGTGGTGGTCCAAATCCCGCACGCAGAGGTCGCAGTCGTAGCAGTGGCGCGCCTCGATCGGCCGCTCGAAGTCGCACCGCGAGCAGAAGCGCCGCGCGACGTCGTCGGAGCCGAGCTCCCGGTAGACGATGCCCGGGTCGCTGCAGGCCGTCAGGCTAAAGGCCGCCAGGAGCGCGCCGAGCGTCAGCGCGCCGCCGGCGACGACGGCGGCGTGCACGCGCGGCGCGACGAGCACGAGGAAGGCGCCGCTCGGCGCCAGAATTAAACTGTAGGTGCAGCACATGCAGGGCCAGTCCGGCCCGACGAAGCACGTCGCGGGCCAGCGGCCGCGCTTCCGGCCGCAGATGAGCCAGTTCTTCGCGACGCGCGCGCAGCAGTGGCAGTCGTCGTCCAGCAGCAGGTTCTTGGGGTCGTGGACGCGCGCCTCCTCGACGTCGTCGCCCGCCTCCTCGGCCTCGACGGTCTCCGGGGAGACGACGGCCGACCCGCTCTCCTTGAGCTCGACGGGCATGGCGCGTCACGGCCTACTTAGCTGCCCATAATCAAATGTGAGGACCGCAGTTGCAGAAATCTCTGGCTACGTTGAATTGGACATTGACTCGTTTTTTCAGCCCTCATCTCGTGGCTGCCCTCGCCTCGAGTTCTAGTTGGTGTGCCGGGACCGTCGAAGCCATGTCGACAGCCGAGTCGAAGTCCGTCTTCTCCGGGTCCATCAGCGACCTGAAGTCGAAGGTGAAGCCGCCGCACCCCATCCTCCAGTTCTGCCGCGACGCCGAGCCCCACTGGATGTCCGTGTTTTTCCTCTCGCACCTCCTCTTCTGGCTCCGGGGCATCCCCCACGCCCCCGAGGGCTACCGATTCTACAACAACAACAAATTCAACCACGACGGCGGCATCCCCAGCGGGCCCTTCGGCTCCGGCGTCTTCCCCATCTCGCTCATCCTCACCGTCACCGTCACCGTCACCGTCGCCGTCAAGGCCGCGGTCTTCAAGCCCGAGGTCTAGGCGGCGGCCTCCTCCGCGGGGGGCGGCGGCGGCGGCCGGGGCGCCGGGCGCCCCCCCTGGCGGCGGCGCGGCCCGCGGGGCGGGGCCGCCGCGCGCGCGCAACGAGGGGCGCGGGGCGCGCTAAGACCACCTTCGAAGAAGCGTCCTCCGAAAGCCAGGGCCCGCTCTCACGAGCCCCCGGAGTCCCTCGACGCGGCGCTTAGGGCGAATGGGCCGCGCCGCGAGAGTGGCAAAGGTGGCGGGCACAACGACGACGGACAGGAAGGCTCACTGCTTCTTCTTCTTGGGCACGTAGGACGACATGAAGAACTGGAGGAAGAGGATGAAGAGGGAGATGATGTAGACGAAGTAGATGGCCGTGACGCGCGGCGGCGTCGCGGAGCAGCCCGTCACGAACATGTAGATGGCCTGCGCGTTCATGCACGTGAACTGGACGAGCTGGGCCAGCGTCAGGTACTTCTTCCACCAGATGTCGCGCGTGTGCATGGAGACGAAGTAGTACCTGCGGTTCGGGCGTGGGCGGCCGCGGCGACGAACGTCGCCGGCGCCGGGAAGACGCGCGTGTACATGATCGTGTGGATGGCGCCGTTGAGGACGATGGTGAGGTAGATGTCGCCGTCGTAGTTCACGTGGAGGTTGAGCCAGTAGAAGAGGAAGATGGTCGTGTGGTGGTAGACGTGGAGAAACGAGAGCTGCTTCCACTTCTTGCCGATGACGATGAAGAACGTGTCGACGAAGTCGAGCACCTTGGACGCGTAGAAGAGCCAGAGCACGTTGGCCATGGGCGGGTGCTTGGCGTCGTAGGAGTTGCAGACCAGGTTGAAGTTCGACCGCTTCGCGACGATGACCGCCTCGATGCACATGTACGAGCAGAGCATGACCTGCGCGATGTTGTAGAGGAAGGCGACGCCGTAGAGCTTGATGCCGTCGCCGGGGTAGGCGCGCATGATGAGCTGCGCGGGGGACGCGTTCCATCCTTTCGCGAGGGACGGTTCCGGGCGCGGCGGCCGCGCGGATCCGACGAGCACGAACGCGAGGTACGCGCCCGCGATGCTGATCGCCGTCGTGAAGGAGCCCAGCGCCCAGCCCTGCGGCGCGCGCGCGCGCACGGTCGGGTCGCGTTTCGCGCGCGCGCGGCGGAGCGGGTCGCGCGGCGGGCGCCGGAGCGCGCCTTCACGGGCTCGTCGGTGACATCGCTGCCCACGAGGGCCCAGGCAATGATCTGGTCGCCGATGGCTTCGTAGTCCGTCATGATCGCCGCCGACGGTTGCAACGCCTCCGGCAAACAGTCGTGGACTCGCGGTGCGCGGCTGCTACTGCTAGCGCGATTGCAAGAGCGCGACGACAGAGCTCGGTGGCTGCGACGTGTTGGCTCGCGCGATCGCGTTGGCTCGCCGGCACCGCTTCGAGTGAGCCATTGTTGACTCCAAGTTGCCGCGACGAGCCTGAGCCCACGAGCCGCGGGACGGACGACGCGGAGCAAAACCTACGCCCCCCCCGGCGCCGGCGCGCCCGGCAGCCCCCCCGGTTCCTCGACCTTGACGAAGGAGAACTTGCGGAAGGAGAGCGCGTCGTGGCCGTCGAGGTGGGCGACGATGGGCCGGTCGACGCCGTCGTTGAGGACGAACTGGGCGAACTGGGCGTGGGCCTTCATGCCGTGCTCGCGGATCGCCGCGAGCTGGAACTGGCCGAGCTTGTCCTCGACGAAGCCGCCCTTCTTCACGAGTTTTCCGCCGTAGACGAACTCGCGGTAGTGCCGCGTCGAGCAGACGTGCGTCGAGTCGTACCACTGGAGCAGCGGCGTCAGTTCGAAGTCGAACCCCTCGGGCGCGCGTCGGTCGACGCGGATGCCGTACTTGGACAGCACGAGCCGCCGGTAGTGGAGCGTCGTCGACGTCGGCAGCCCGACGTACTTCAGCCAGGCGTCGTGGCGCTCGAGGCAGCGCACGATGGGCTCGACGTCGACGGCGCGCACGAAGTTGCGGTCGTGCTGCACGACGATGACGTAGGGCGTCCTCACGAACGTCAGCGCGTGCTTCAGCGCGAAGCCGAAGCCCTGGCGCTCCGCGCAGCGCACCATTTTTCCAAAATTCAGCGCCCGCAGCTTCGCCACGTAGGCCTCGTACTTGGCGCCGCCCTCCGCCGTGACCTGGCCGCTCCGGTACTTGGGCGCGTCGCGCACCTTGTAGCCGTCGCAGAGCACGAGCGTCGGGCACCCCGCCAGCGCCGGCGCGTGGTGGCGCATGGACCCCACGGTCTCCTCGATGAGCGCCGTGCTCGGGTTCGTCTTCACGGGCGACGTGCACAGGATCACCGTCAGCTTGTCGCGCAGGCGCCACGCGCGCCGCCGGCGCCGGTACCGCCGCCACGCGACGGCCGCGGCGGCGGCGGCGGCGGTCGCCGCCGCCGCCCAGAGGAGGCGCCGCTGCCGCTGGCTCGACGTCGCGACCGCGGTGGGCATTGCGGGCTTTCCGCGTGCATAACCCACCTTTTTTTGCGGGATGGTCATGCCCATACGCTCGCTGATTTTGTGGACGAGACGATGAGACGTCGCGTTGACCTTCAACGAGACGGCCAGACGGACAGGGGCTCGCCCGCCTACGCTTCGGGCTCTTACGGCGCGCGCGTCGTAGCCGCCGCGCCGCGCGGCCCTCACTCGCTGTCGGTTTTTTGGTAGGGCGAGGGCTGCTTCTTCTTCTTCTTCACCGCCGCGAGCTGGTCCGCGGGGCCGCCGAGGCCGCCGCGCGGCGGCGCCGCCGCGAGCTTGGCCGCGAGGTCGTCGGCGCGGGCCTTGGCGCCGCCGAGCTCGGCCTCGAGGCGCGTGAACTCCTTGCGCGCCTGCGAGACCTTCTCGCCGAGCTCCTTGCGCGCGTCCGCGGCGTCGGCGCGCGCGGCGTCGAGGTCCGCCTGCGACGGCGCCTCGGCGAGCTTGGCCGCGAGGCCGTCGCCGCGGGCCTTGGCGGCGAGGAGCTCGCCCTCGAGGCCCGTGATCTTCGCGCCGCGCCGCTCGCCCTCGGCGCCCTCCGCGTCGGCCGCGGCGCGCAGCGCCTCGAGCTCGGCCCGGAGCGCCAGGAGCTGGTCGCCGTCGGCTTGCCTCACGCGCTTCTCGGCCTCGAGCTGGCGCCGCGCCTCGTCGGCGTCCGCGCGCGCGGCGTCGAGCTCCGCGGCCGTCGCGCTCGCGCGCTTCGCGAGGGACGCCGACGCCGCGCGCGCGTCGGCGACCTCGCGCTTGGCGCCCTCGAGGGCGTGGCCCGTCTCGGACTGGCCCGCGGCCGCGCGCCGCGTCGCCTCCTCGACCTGGCGCTCGAGAGCGCGCCGCGCGTCCGCGAACTCGTCCTGCAGCATCTGCCGGTCCACGCTCAGCCGGTGCAGCCGCGCCTCGAGCTCCGCGACGCTCTCCGCGTACATGGTCTCCGTGCCGTCCTCCTATGCGATGATGCTCCGTTTTTTTTCCGGGCGCGGCGACGCCTCCCCTTTCGAAACCGTTTCGGACGCCGCGGGAACGCGCGCGCGCGGTGCTCCGGCCGACGAAGACGCCGGACCCGGCGACGGCGATGAGGGACAGGGACTTGACCGCGAACCAGAGGAGGCCCGCCGGCAGCCCCAGCGACGGCCGCGCGCCGCGCGGCGCCGATGCCCGCCTCGGCCGCGCCGCGGCCGACCCCGCTTGATCGCTAAAGTCGTAGAGGTCGCCGAAGAAGCTCTCCCCGCCGCCGCGCAGGGCGCACGCCGCGCGCGCGAGGCCGCCGGACGCGGCGCGCGTCGCGGCCGCGGGCGCGACGCGCAGCGGCGATGGTTTCGCGTTTAGGCGATGCGCCGCGCCCGCGTCTCGCACGGGCACGGCGACGAGGCCCAGCAGCAGCGCCGGCGTGGAACGCATCGCTCCGCGCACGGCTCAAGGTTGAACGGCGAGTGCGGGCACTTGAGCAACACGATCGGCGTCGCAACCGGTGCGGATCCAGTGTCCGGTGCCTGTGGAGACGTGATGGTGAACGCTTTGGCCGCGCCTGAGCGACCCTAAACGCCGCCATCAATGGAGGCTGCCACGCTCCCGACGCGCCAGCGCGTCATGACGCTGACGTGGAACTGGGACAAGCACTGCAAGGCCGCCCACGACGCGCTGGGCCGGTGCAGCCAGTACAAGCTCACGAGCACCTACCTCGCCGCCGACGACGCCACGGGCGCGTCGGCGAGCCTCGCCGAAGCGGCCCTCGAGGCGAAGATGGCGGCGGCCCACGGCGAGCTGACCGCCGCCGTCGACGGCCTCGCCGCGACGCTCGCCGGGCTCCGGAAGCTGACGGCGAAGATCGCCGCGCCCGCGCCCGACGAGCCCTACGCGGCCGTCGAGAGGCGGTCCATCCTCGGCCGCGCGGCCGAGCTCGCGGGCATGTACGAGAAGCAGCTCCACGCGGCGCGGCTCCTCGCCGACGACGTCCTCTGGTGCGACGACCGCGACACGCACGCCGTCTACGGCACCGTGCTCCTCCTCCAGCCCTACGTCGACAAGGACTTCCTCTCGAACCTCCGGGAGACGTGCGAGCTCAACGGCGACATCATCAAGCCCGGGAAGCCCCAGAACGACGATCGACGACGGACGCTGTAGTTAAGAGCTAGAGCGCGGAGGATCCCGGAGACGCGGCCGGTCCGAGCGCCGCGCGCGCGACGCACCGCGCGGAGGATCCCCGAGACGCGGCCGGTCCGAGCGCGACGCACCGCACCTGCCGTTTCGGGTACCGCCGCGCGCGCGCGAAACGCCGCGGCGCGCGTCCGCCCGCCGTACGTCAGCTCCGCGACCTGAGGGGGGCGTGCCGTGCGTCTAGCGCGGTTGCTGCGGCGGGTACCCCGGCCGGTACGTCTGCTGCTGCTGGTAGGCGTAGGCCTGCTGCGGGGGCGCCTGGGGCTGGTAGCCCTGCGCGTACTGCGCGCCCGGGTACCAGACCTGCTGCTGCTGCTGGTAGTTCGTCGGCGGGAGCGGCGGCGGCGCGGGCGCCTGCGGCGGCGGCGGCGGCGCGGGCGGTGCCGGCGGCGGCGCGGGCGGTGCCGGCGGCGGCGCCGGGACCGCGGGGGGCGGCGCGCCGGGCTTCTGGAAGCCGAGGCCCGGGGCCTCGCCGAGCTCGGACATGAAGTCGAGGAACTCGGAGTCGACCTTGACGCGCGCGGCCGCGCTGTCCGCCGCGGGCATGCCGTCGGCGCCGGCGGCCGCCGTCGCCTGCTGCTTGTTCAGCGCGCAGTCGCGCGTCGGGTGCGACGTGTCGCCGCAGAGCGCGCAGCGCACGTTCGCCATCGCGTAGGACCGCTGCTTCGCCGGGCACTCCCACTGCTGGTGGCCCTTCTCGCCGCAGATGTGGCAGTAGATCTCCGTGCGCGTCGTGCCGTTGATCTCCGCGAGCTCCGTCTGGTGCTTCTCCTTGAGCTCGTCGATCTTCGCGGACTCGGGGTTGAGCAGGGGCTCGATCATGTCCACGGCCTGCTGCACGTGCGCCTCGGAGGGCCCCTCGACCCAGACGTGCATGTCGTCCTTGTCGTCGTCGAGGTCGCGCTGCTGGTCCTTGCCGCGGGACCCCTCGCGCAGCGACCCCTTGCCGCGGATGCGGATCTTGCAGAGCGTGTCGCGCTCCATGCGCTTGTGGTGGTTGCCGCGCGGCCCCAGGATCAGACCCATGAAGCAGACGTTGGGAAACTCCTTGACGGGAATGTACAACTTGCGCGTGGGCCGCTTCGGCGCGTCGCCCATGGCCGCCGCCGCCGTCGGCTGGATCGCCGAGATCTTCTCCATGAGCTCGGACCGCTCGCGCTGGAGCTCCTGGCGGAAGAGGACCTCGGGCGTGTTCGCGCGTTTGCCGTCCGGGCCGTAGATCGGCGGCGGGTCCGCGCGGTCCGGGTCCTGGGACCACTTCTCGAACTCGGCCCCGAAGTTCATGGACCGCTCCTGGAGCGTCCGCAGCTGCATCTGGAGGAGCATGAGCTCCTGCTGCTGCTCCTGCGTGAGGTGCGCGCCGGGCTGGACGCCCGTGGGCCGCGCGAGCGCGAGCTGGTTCGCCGCGAGCAAGGCGAGCTGGCCGCCGCCGGGGCCCATGGTCGCCGCCTGCTGCTGGAGCAGCCGCAACGTCCCCGCGGACCGCGGCTCGACGTTCGTTTTGGTCGTCGCGTCGCGGTTCGAGAAGCGGCTCTTCTTCCGGGGCCGCGGCTTCGGCGCGTCGTCGCCCGCGCCGTCGCCGTCCTCGAGGAAGGCCTGCGTGATCTGCTCGAAGGCCGGCCACGACTCCAGGTCCTCGGCGCTCGCCGGGTACGCGCCGTGCGACGCCCGGAGCGCCGCGCGGCCGTCCGCCGCGTACCACGCGCCCATGGGCCCGTGGAGCTCCCGGAGCATGGCCAGGTCCACGCCCGCGGCCGCCGCGCCGTCCGACGACGTCGCCGCGCCGGGCGACGGCGCCGCCGCGGCCGGCGCCGCCGCGGGCTCGGGCGCGACGGCCGCGGGCGGCGGCGCGGGCGCGGCCGCGTCGGCGCTCCCGGCCCACTCGCCCGTGTCCTGGAACTTGAGGAACGCCTTCTTCGACGCCTTCCAGCCGTCCCACGCGTCCAGCTCCATCCACATGGACGGGAAGAGGCCGTGCTCCGCCTGGAGCTTCACGTTGCGCCGGTCGAGGTACCACTTGCGCATGGGCTGGAACAGGAGCTTCTGCTCCGCCATGCGCTCGGCCTTCTCCTCGTAGGCATTGTTGTCGCCCTCCGCGAAGGCGTTGGTCATCTTTTGTTGGCGGCGCCGACGACGAGGCCGGCGGGGCAGACCAGCTTGTTGGCGGCGCCGACGACGAGGCCGGCGGCAGACCAGCTCGCCGCGCTCTGTGGCCTCGCCGCCGACCCCCGGCGGCGCGCGCTGGAACTTTGCCGCACCGCGCGCGCGGCGCGGCCGCGCGGCTCGCGCACGCGTCGCGATGGGTCGCATAATATACACAGCGGCGTCCTTCTTCTCCCGCCATGCTCTAATCCCGCCCCCGCTCCAGCTAAAGTGGCTCCGCCGGCGTGTCTAGCACTGCGTGGCCTTCAACAAAGCCTTCAGCTGAAATCACATCACGCAGGAACTTCCGTATCTCGGGCATTTTACCGCCATCGGCCCGATAGCGCCACTTGCCGCCGACTGCGCTGGAACACTGCACAGTCACGAACGCGTTGTAGCAGTCGCCGTCCTTCTTCGTGTCGTCTCTCGACTCGACGAGCCGTCCGCCGCGTTTGGATTGCGAAACCAAACCGAGGCCATGGCCAAGGGCGGCCCGTGGTACCAAGGCGGCGCTGAGTGGCGCCTACTTCGAAGACAAACCCACGGTCGTGACCAACTTCGAGGTCATGCTCCCGTCCGCGGCCGCCGGCGCCGCCACGCCGCGGCAGACAGAATTCTAGAACTGGCATGGACGAGCTCGGCTCCCTCGGCGGACCCCAAGTCTACGCACGTCTGAAGACGCGCGCCCACACGCGAAGAGCAGTGCCTATCGAGCTCGTCAGCCAGCCGCGCGCGACTGCAAGTTGCCCGGCATGGTGCACTCGTGCCACAGCTCCATCTGCGCCGCCTCCTGGTTCGTCGCGCCCGCGGCGTTGCGCGCCGCGCCGCGCGCACCTCGACGCGCCACGGGCGCGGCACGACCATGTGGTCCATCCTGAGCCCGCGCGGCAAGGACTCCCACTACGAGGACGCCGTGGAGCTGCCCGAGGACGCGTCCCTCGAGGAGGAGAACCGGCACCTGCGGCGCCGGCTCGCGCTCACGGAGAAGACGCTGGAGCGCGTCCGCGGGGAGCGCGCGAAGCTCAACGACATCCGGAACAACATGAAGCGCAACTCGCGGCTCCGGCGCCAGGCCGGCGGCGCGGTTTTCGCGTGCTACCTGTTCTGGGTGTTTTGCTGGAACATGCGGTTCCTCGGCTTCTACAACGCGCTGCGCGGCCGGCCGCGCGACTGCGCCGTGCGGCCCTACGGCGCCCTGATCTTGGAGGGCGGCGGCGTCAAGGGCATCGCCTACGGCGGCGCGGCCGCCGCGCTCGAGGCCTTCGGGCTTTTGAAGTCCAAGCGCATCCACGCGTTCGCGGGCACGTCGGCCGGGTCCATGATGGGCGCCCTCATGGCCGCGCGGGCGCCGGCGCGCGACGTCACGGAGTACCTGCTGAACTTCCCCTTCGAGAAGCTCATGGACGGGTCGAACCCCGTGGCGAACGTCGGGCGCCTGCAGCGGAACTACGGCTGGTTCAAGGGCGACGAGATCGAGCTCCGCATGCGCCAATTACTCTCGAAAACGGTGGGCCCGAACATCACCTTCGGCGACCTGGAGAAGAGGAAGAAGACGCGGCTGCGGCTGTCGGCGACGGACATCACCGCCGGGAGGCACGCGTGGCTCGACGCGGGAAAGGGGTGATTCAAGTTCGATTCAACTTGAGTGTGCCGCGCGCGATCGTTGCAGAGAAATGATCCACGCTTCGAGAGCGCTCCGAGAGATAATCGCCCGTCCAGAAATCAGCCGAAACGAGCGGAAACCGGCCGAGAGAGGAGCCTTTGAAGTTGGGAAACCCCTTTTCCTGCCCCAGGCGTGGCTCGACGCGGAGACCGCGGCGAACGTGTCCGTCGCGTCGGCGGTGCGGGCGTCGTCGGCCATTCCGTTCGTGTACCCGCCCGTCGTCCTGGGCGGCCGCCTGTTCGTCGACGGCGGCCTGCTGCGGAACATCCCCTGGGACGCCTTCGGGACCTGGGGCGTGACGCGGCGGAAGAAGCACGCGCGCGACCGGCTGCGGTCCTTCTTCGCGCCCTTCCGCGCGCGCGCCGTGCTCGCCCTGTCGATCCGCGGGCCCGAGCGCGTCTACGACAGGATCCTGTCGGACCGCATCGAAGACGACAACCGGTCCGCGCGGACCACGACCACCACCAAAGCGCCGAACCGGGGCCTCTTCGGCATCCCGCTCCTCTCGCTGCCCGGCGGGCCCGACGACGAGGAGCAGGCGAAGAAGCCGAAGCTGAACACGCGGGGCTTCGCGGGCCTCATGGAGTTCGGGAGCCAGTTGGTGGACCTCGTGACGTTCGGCGCGGATTCGCCGAACGCGCTGCCCGCGGACCACCCGACGCTCGACGTCGTGAAGATCGACCCCTTCGACATCTCCGCGGGCGACTTCAACCTCGACGACCGGGCGCGGGCGCACCTCGTCGCGTCGGGCTACGTCGCCGTGACGCGGCACCTCGCGGCCTGCGGCCACGGCGCCGTGCCCGAGCCGCCGGCCTGGCTCGTGGACATCCTCGCCAACTTCTCCGGCGGCGCGTCCTACGCGCCGAGCCTGCGCCACGACCGGCGCGAGAAGCCCGAGGGCGTCCGCGTCGCCGAGGCCGTCCGGCCGACGCCCCACCTAAAGGAGCTTTAGCCCCCCGGCACAACAGATTTTCCAAGCTTAGCGCCCTCGGCCCCTCGTCAGGGCCAGAGCCGCGGCGTGAGCGGTCGGACGCGGTCCGAGTCGTCCGTCGACTCGGACGCCGTCGACGCGGAGTCGTCCTCGGGCCGCAGCCGCGCCGCGTCGAGCTCGAGCTTCGACGGCGCGTTCTCCGCGTCGACCTGGAGCGGCTCGAGCCGCGGCGTGTCGTCGCCCGGCGGCTCTTCCAGTTCTCCCACGGCCAACAGCCGCAGGAACAGCAGGAGCCCGACGACGACGATCGCGAGCAGCAGGTAGAGCGCCTCGTTGGCCTCCGTGTTGCCGTGGACCCAGGAGAAGAGGACGTTCGCGACGACGTTCCCGCAGGCCACGACGAACTCGCAGGCGCCGAAGGCCGCGCCGACGTTCGCCGGGTTCACCGTGCCCCGCACCTTGGCCAGCAATAGCGTGGGAAGCACCGCGTGCGACACGGCGATGGCCAGCACGGGCAGCGGCGCCGACGACGGCCCCGACGCCTCGTCGACGTCCTGCGGCGGCAGGGACAGGACGCCGAAGGCGCCGATGGCCAGGACCATGGCGGCCACGCACGGAAGCTGCGTCTTCGATCGATCCGACAGTAACCCCGCCAACGGCGCGAGGAAGATGGACGCGAGGGGCACGACGGACGCGATGAAGCCCGCCTTCTCCGGGTTGAAGCCGTAGGCGCGCACGAGGATGATCGACGAGAAGTTCTCGAAGACCTTGAAGCCGCAGACGAAGACGCCGTGCGCCAAAGCCACGAGCCAGAACCGTTCGGTTCGTAAGAACCGGAGCTTGTGCCACCACGTGCGGTTCCGGCGCCGGAAGTGGTGGGGCCGCTTCTTCCGCGCGAAGGCGCCCTGGAAGAAGGACGCCGTGAGGCTCAGCCCCTGCGCGGCGACCATGACCAGCAACGACGTGCCGAGGTCGAAGCTCGCGGCGACGGGCGCCGCGCCGGACTTGGCCAGGAACGACGCCAGGTTCGCCACGCCGGCCAAGAGCCCCTGGGCGAAGGCCGCGTGGGAGAAGGTCGACGCGATGGCGCGGCAGGCGACGACGACGCAGCCCTGGCCCAAACCTAAGGTGACGCCGCCCGCGTACGTGAGCGCCAGGTCGTCCAATCCGAGACCGCCGACGCAGAGCACGCCGCCGCAGAAGGCCAGCAGCGCGAAGATGGGCGTCGCCCAGCGCCGGAGCTGGGCCGAGTCGTACAGGAGCCCGCCGAGCATGGGCGCGATCGTCGCGTTCGGGAGCGCGAAGGTGGAATGCAGCGCGCCGTACTGCGTCGCGGACAGCGGCAGGAACGGCTGCAGGGCG